GGTTCACTCTTACGCTTTGTGTGCAAAGCCCGTTCTGTTGAGTTTATTTTTTTTAAATAACCTTTCTCTTGCTCATTCACTGACTCCACACCAAAACCTATGAGAAAATGAAGCCAGAAACAGCAAAAACATTTTATTGTTTATTATTTCACAAAAAAATTAATTATATATATATATATAATTATTCATTATAGATCATATATGTATAAGTAGATAATTGGATGTTTTTCCAAACAGTTTATTGTGTTAGAAGCACAAACATCTAAGGGAATTTTAATGCTACTCTTTAATTTAAGGCAACACACAATTCAGTGGGGGGTTTTTTTCATCTCACCGTCTGTTTCTCGCTCACAGCTCGAGCTAAAAATGACACCTCGCGTGACGTCACGCACACCTTCACCCGATCGCGGTTAACATCTTAATACAGAATCACACACACCGACCTGCAGAACACAAACAAAGCAGAAACAGAACAGCAGAAAACATAGCAGCAAAAAATTAATCAAAATAAATTAAATAAATAAATGAAATGTAAAAGTGATATCAGCAAAAAATTATAAAATAAATAATAAGTGAAATGTAAAAGTGATATCAGCAAAAAAAATTAAATAATAATAATAAAATAAATAATAAATAAGTGAAATGTAAAAGTGATATCAGCAAAAAAATTTAAATAATAATAATAAAATAAATAATAAATAAGTGAAATTTAAAAGTGATATCAGCAAAAAAATATATAAATAATAAATAAGTGAAATGTAAAAGTGATATCAGCAAAAAAATTTAAAAAAATAATAATAAAATAAATAATAAATAAGTGAAATTTAAAAGTGATATCAGCAAAAAATTTTAAATAATAAAATAAATAATAAATAAGTGAAATTTAAAAGTGATATCAGCAAAAAAATATAAAAATAATAAATAATAAATAAGTGAAATGTAAAAGTGATATCAGCAAAAAAATTTAAATAATAATAATAAAATAAATAATAAATAAGTGAAATTTAAAAGTGATATCAGCAAAAAAATATATAAATAATAAATAAGTGAAATGTAAAAGTGATATCAGCAAAAAAATTTAAAAAAATAATAATAAAATAAATAATAAATAAGTGAAATTTAAAAGTGATATCAGCAAAAAAATATAAAAATAATAAATAATAAATAAGTGAAATGTAAAAGTGATATCAGCAAAAAAATTTAATTTTAAATAATAAAATAAATAATAAATAAGTGAAATTTAAAAGTGATATCAGCAAAAAAATATAAAAATAATAAATAATAAATAAGTGAAATGTAAAAGTGATATCAGCAAAAAAAAATTAAAAAATAATAATAAAATAAATAATAAATAAATAAGTGAAATGTAAAAGTTATATATATAACTTATATATCAGCCAGTAATTTCACTGCAATATCACTTTATAAACACTGTTTTCTCATTAACATTAGGAAAAAGCGCATGACTTTGTTATTATAATGCACAGAAATAGCAATGAAATGTAATGATCTTCATTCATATTCACCTCAAGCATACTGGGCGATGGGTGCTTCGAGAATCGAGATTATACAAATGTAATACATTTTGCAACACAATGATATTACAGCTGTATCTTATTATGCATGGAATATTATATGTAAGTTAGTAAATATGCGTAAGTTTGTGTTTCGGAGCTCGTGGCAGTCACAACAAAAGTGCCACAAAAGCTCAGTAATAACTGATGCAGCACGAGTCGGTAATACAGCCTTCGAACATGAATGTTCAACTGTAATATGAGTTTAGATATCGCTGAAATAACCGCGCAGAACTTACCCTTATAAAAACAAATGTGCCCGTTCATGAGAAGCGGATGTAGAATCATTGTTTACGTTCGCGGCTGACGTCACCTCCGGTCGCTTGCTTGGCGCGCTGCTGCAGTCAGGCCGCGGGAGAGCTGCACAAGCTGTTCACATAACGCCTTTAAGAATTCACACAAAAGAATATTTGTCATAACACATCCCGGTATGATAATATGCTGTGATGTCGCTTGCTACATTTGTTTGTTAATGTTATGAACTCTTCTTGTGTTTGCATTCTCTCTCTCTCTCTCTCTGACAGTCATGTCTGTGAACCAGAGCCTGTATAACTGTGAAGATCCAGCTGTGTGGAGAGCTGTTCATGCCAAATACTGGAGTGTAGTAGAAGCCAAGTCAGCTGTGAAGGGGAAGACATCAGGAAAACTCTTACAACTGGACAGATGGTAGGAGTTCTCACAAACACACACTTGAAATTACAATACTGCTCAAAAATGTATACATTTAAAACAGCACGTTATGCAAGTTATTTGATTCAATTCTAAATAAAATAAATGTAAAAAATGATTGTAATAATGTTAGTTCATTTTTGCTTACTCATCAAAATGAGCCATTACCATGCAGTTTAACACAACTCTACATGCAGCATCGTGTGAACAACTACAAACATATTCTAGGTTTCATAAATTAATACATAATGTGTTTTTATATTCATTATTGTATCTACATCAGGATAGGATTGAATGTGAATAATAATAATATAACAAATGTAAATATAAACACTAAAGTAAAATAAATTACAAATATAAATGCTAAAATATATCCATTTCAAATAAATGATACAAATAAAATGTATATATATATAATCATAAATACTCAAATGTATTTATAAAATACATAATACATTTAAATATTGTTAAATTATATACATTTAAAATTAATGTATTAATTGTATCCTTTTAATTTATATTTTTTGCCTACTCGTCATAATTAACCATGAACTTGCAAATTGACAAAAACTTAGATGCAGTTTCACTAGCATTTCCTTTAGTTGTTATGAGCCACGTTTAAACACCCAAAATGTGTTTTTATGATCATTACTGTATTTGTATCAGAATTGAATATTAATTTATATATATTAATAATCATAAATGACTCAAATTTAAAAACTACAGAAATTAAAGTATTATTAAATTGTGAATTATATAAATAAAAACCGTTGTAAAAATATATAATGTTACAAAAAAATTATATTTCAAATAAATGCTGTTCCTTGAACTTTCTATTCTTCAAAGAATCTGGGGAAAAATGTTAAGCAGTACAACTGTTTACACTGTCCTATCTAAAGACAAAATTAGCAAAAACTAATCTTTAAAAAATAAAAAATTGGCAAACCACACATAAAGCAAGAAATAATGAAAATATATCCATGTACATAATATTAGCCTAAGGTGACCAAACAACAGTCTCTGAAGGTTAAGCAGCACATCCTGATAATTTGTTGAAATAGAAGAAAGTTTTGTTCAAGAGGAGTTTCATGCTTTGCACCCCATCGGTGGAGAGTGTTACTGTCTGTGGGCACTGACACACACTCACACATCTCACAGTATGGTCTTTATTTCATACAGCTGAGAAATGAAAGCAAACACAAAACCATACAAAATAAAACTACATAAAATTGCCTCAGGTCCCAATATTTCAGAAGTACAACACATCATGAAATGATAAAGAATTTGATAGAAACTATCAATATTTACATATCTTTTTTATCATCATCTGATCAAGAGAAAACTATTAGCATTATATTATATTTTCAGCTTTAACTTCTTTTTTGTAAACAATTTTTTTACTGCAACGAGTGTCATCTCGTCTTTTGGCACCATTTTGAAATCTGTAAATGAACTACAATTCTCAGTAGGACTACAATTGTGGCGGCGACACAGAGGATCTCACTGGAACGCAGTGATGAGCTCAAAGCAACACTTGCAACCTACACCTACAACATCATGGAGAAAATAAACGCACGACACCGCAATCTGTGCTGATTGGCCAGCTACTGATGTTAAGCATGAGATTCGAGAGCAGCTATTGGCTGGGACGTAATGTGAACGGGATTAAGGGGGAGGTCCTTGGTAAATGGGTTTGTTCCCAGTTTTAAGTGGATTGAGTACACTTCTTCACCCAGGGTATGTTTGGAGTGGCATACTACCCATACTAGTTTTGCAGTATGCATACTGGTATATTATGCAAATGTTTAGTATAAATGGCATACGTGGATGATTTATTGGTAACATTTACAGCATACAACAGAGTACACTATTCTATTTTTAAAAACGTATCCCACGATGCAATGCGCTCGACCTTGCATACTGAATTGTTAACTAAAACTATAAAAATTTGTTTTTGTAAATTGAAATAAAGTTGATATAAAAAATGTTTAAATAATATATGAAAAATTTAAAATTGCTTTGGCAACTCAGTTGAACTACTAAAACGACTGAAATAAAACTGAATAAATATATAAAAATATTTATATAAAAAAGACAAACTTAAAAATAAAAAAAACTTTATTTTAAAAATGTTTTCTTGGCAACTAACAAATAAAATAAGATCAAGTATTAAAATGAAAACGGCAAAACTAAAATATAAACATAAATATAAAAAATTATAATAATACAAATGAGAAAAGTACATAAAATAACTCAAGTTGAAGTGCTAAGATGACTAAAGTTAAAACTGAAATAAAAACAGAAATATAAAAAAGCAGAAAAATGGCAAAAGCCATAAATAACTTTTTTTTTAAATGAAAATTGAAAATATAAAAATAAAAGCTATTTCAAAATATTAATAAATACTATAATAGTATATATATAATACTAAAATATCAGTTGTGACAATAAATTAACCACATGATCAACTTTTAGCATTTAGCTTGTCTTATTTGAATGCTACAAGATTTCATTTTACTTTGTTTTTTCTCAAAATTGGATTAAATTTTGAAATAACTATTTTAAACATGATAAATATATGCCACTTGCTGAATTAATCAGCGATGTCACATGATCATCTTGTATACTACTGTTAGAAACATTTAGAATTGCAAAATGCATACCGTTTCACATTATATTTTTTTAAATATTAGGCAGTATACAGTATAAACGGCAAAGTATGCAGTATGCTAGTATTCCACTCCGAACACAACCCAACTTTTTTAGACCGAGGTTCAGTGTTTCCCACGTTCACATACCGCAAAAATACACACACAGACTACAGTATGTGTGCTTATAACAGTCTGAAAACCAACACTGGTCATACAACACATTAAAGCATGTTTCTCTCTCTCTCACACACACACACTTCCATCCATTTGATGAGTGTTCAAAAAAAGAATACATCCATCATTCACTGCTCTCTCTCCATTTTCCTTCATTTTATCAGCTATTTGTCCCGTCTTTCTCACCTCATTTTCTTCTATCACATATTCCAATATGGTTTTTAGCTTTTTATAACATTTCTCTCTCTTTCTCACTGTTTATACGCGTGTCTGATAAATATTCATCAGCGTTTCATTTTTCACCTGTCTAAAAGCGCCAGCCAGCTTAATATTACAGGAACTCTATAAAGTCCACTTTTTTGGATGCTGGATCAGAACATTTAAAGTCAACCTGAAACCAAAATTGACGATTTACTTTATTACTACTGAAATGTATTCACCAAGCCTTTGTTTTTTTTGCCAATTCTCCTCAAATATCCTTTTTTTTTTAACCTGAAAAGTGTCACATCATGGCAGTAAAATGGGTTGCGAGTGCCATTTCATGCTGACTTTAAAATATTCAAATAACTTACATGTTCCCTGGAAAGCATTAATGTGTTTTGTTACATAAGCGTGACCTTTGGGCACAGCTGAATTTATTTATGAAACATTTGTATTGTTAATATTCTTTGCTTTGCTTCCAGCACTTTCTATTTCTGTGGGTGTAAATGCATTTCATTTTTCGGGTTTTGCATCATCATCATCACATCACATCTCTTGGGTTAAGATGATCTTTACAGACGCCACAATCCAACACCGATAACCACTCTGAATAAATATAAATGTAGGACTATGGCATAAAAATCCACAACATTAAACTGACACACAGTCAAGCTTTTCGAAAATGAAAAGAAATCAACTCATAACAGCAATCTTATACACATCTTTCCTTTAGCAATTCAATTAATTCCCTTTAATTATCTTTTAGCAGCTTAGCAAATGATAACTTGGCACTACTGAATTTTGTCATATTTAGGGGTCATAAAATGCTCGTTTTTTCTCAAGGATTTTGAGTTGTATTTTTCAAACCCAGTCATAATCATTATTATATTAAGACAACCTTCACTGAAAATGTAGGCAGATGAAATTTTACCATGACTGGAGTTGCAACACATTCGGTATTGGTGGTCGTGACACTGGTTTCTATGTCAAAAGCATCTTTAATCACGTTACGGCAGTTACCATAACAACTGCAATACTGAAGTAATGATTAGTGTGTGGCTTGTAAACTCCTGACTCTCTCACTGGCTTGTGTTTGTGTGTTCACTGGAACATTTTTCAAAGGTCAAGATGAAGGGTCAGATATTCAGTCTGTTCCAAACCAAGTGAGCTCCCTTCTAAAGCCGCATCATAATGGAAATGGAACCTGATTTGAAATGCGCTACAAAAACGTAATTCATTCAATAGAGTACTTGCAAAACAATACTCTAATAAGCATAAAAATATTAGGTACTCCATTTTTAAGTAGATCAAAAGGGATCAAAAATTTGTTTTATTCAGCAAGGATGCATTCGACTGATGAAAAATGACAGTAAAAATTTGTAAAAAGTTGAATAAATGCAGTTTTTTACTTTCTATTTATCAAAAAATCTCAAAAAAAAAATCTCATGGTTTCCACAAATTTACCAAATTTTCATCATTGATAATAATCAGAAATGTTTCTTGAGCAGCAAATCAGCATATTAGAATGATTTCTGAAGGATCATGTGACACTGAAGCCTGGAGTAATGATGCTGAAAATTCAGATTTGATCACAGAAATAAATTATATTTTAAAATATATTCAAATAGAAAAGTTTTTTTTTTAAATTGTAATAATATTTCACATTTTTACTGTATTTTTACTTGTATTTTAAATGCAGCCTTGATGAGTATAAGAGACGTCTTTCAA